ATGACACTTCATGGTGAGTACTGGCACTTTCCCCCCTTAAAACAACAACAACACCCTAATCATCATCATCATTATCATCATAGACAGACTGACCACCTGAGACATGGAGACATCCAGACATGATTCCCATCCTCTGATAAGTTCTGGTCTAGCTCATCAACACTATGGCAAATCCCCACCCCCCGTATGTATGGCGCCTGTTCCAGTCTTTAAAATCGATTTTGGAGACATGGTCTACCATCAGTGCTGCAGCCAGGAGATGTAGATGCCCAGAGAAGGCAGGAAAAGGTGAGTGCTTGCTAGGAATAGCAAGCCTTTTCCTGCATATATAAAAGTAGGTCCTGTGTTTCAGGCCAAGAATAAGAGGCAGATCTCAGGTCTGGACCAGCTGAAGACCACTGGTTTAGCACTTTAAACAAATTGTGCCCAGAAATGAACTGCCAGCCCATGCAAGTTATAAAAAGAACGAGCACGATTTGCGTGAATGTGTGGGGAGGGGAGAACCAGCAAAGAATGTGGACTTGAATCATCCTCCTGGACGTCAAAAGATAAGAACATCTTGAGGAGCCCCCTTGCAATGTTCTCATCCTTTGAAAACGTCTTCTTCTCTTCTGCCACCCCTTACCTTTTTAAAATAAAGGCTCCACAATGAAGATCGTCACAATGAGTTTGGAAGAAACCCTCTTTTGTTGCGGACGGCTAATAATACATTTAAAAACTGCCTCGACAATAAGCGGAATTATATAAAGTGACTGAATAATTAGTAGCTACCAGCCTGACAAAGCTTTATTAAAATAGTGATGGGGGCCTGCTAAAATTATCGTTGTTTATGCATAGGGGAGGAAAAGAAGCAACTAACAATGAACCAGGAACAGGCCTAAGTTGAAACAGGCGATGGGAAACAAAAGGTAGATCCAGGAGATGCCCACACACATCCTCTGGGTGCACATTGTAGATAAAACACAGTGAAAGACAATGGGCCGTCCTCCTCCTTCTCAGCCTCACAGCCGAAGACCCAAACTACATCATACTCCACAAGTGTCCTGGAAAAACTGGGACATCCCATTCTTATCGCAAGAGAACGGCGGCCATTTTGTTGCCATGATCTCCCCTAAGCACTTTTGTTCTGGCCTGAGATCTACCTAACCTAGGGTTGCCATATTTCAAGAAGTAAAAATATAAGACACAATTACTCAGCTTTTTCTGGGCAATGGTCCATAAAGCTGTTGAGATTCTTTTGGACAAAGGCAGTGGCGGATGGCAGGGTGGTGAATGAGCTTCTTTAATTGCCATCTAGAAGGCAACAGGGATTTGACCGCCGCACAACGCTTCCACTGGTGAACAGACGAAACCCTGGACATTCCTGCCGGGTGCCAATTTAGCCCCCACCCCCTTCCAGATTTTTTTCGGAAACATATGATGACTCTACCTCCCGCTGCTTGAAAATTCTAAGGAAGAAAAAACAAAACCGTGCAGTTTTGATATCAGTGTAGTTTTGAAAAGATTCAGTTTGCTATCCAATTGTATCCAAACATAGATGGAAATCTGCTCCTTGATTTCAGGAACCACCCTGCAAAATTTGGTTATGAGAGCTTAAGACGTGCCCAAATGCAGACCAGACAAATAAAGTACAGTCGCACCTTGGAAGTCAAACAGAATCCATTCTGGAAGTCCGTTTGACTTCCAAGATGTTCGGAAACCAAGGCACGGCTTCTGATTGGCTGCAGGAAGCTCCTGCAGTCAATCAGAAGGCGTGTTGGACGTTCGGGTTCCAAAGAACGTTCGCAAACAGGAACACTCACTTCCGGGTTTGCGGTGTTAGGGAGCCAAACCGTTCGACTCACAAGGTGTTCGTCTACCAAGGTACGACTGTACTCTCCTAATTATGCAAATGAGCTAGGGTCCTTTCCTGTTCCTGACTATCATCCCTGCCTATTTGGGCATCCTGCAAGCCCTGTGTCACTTTAGGATATTTGATTTATGTATTTAATCAAATTAAACATAAAAAAATCCCTCTGCTAAAATTATCAAAATCGGCTTTAATTTCCTCCCCGCACTGAAGGCAGGGATTGCAGTTTAAAAACAAAAATAGCCCAAACTGGTGTGCCCCACAAATGACAACACTTTGGAGGCCCCAGGTCGCAAGGTGGTTAGATTGGTCTCAACTAGGGCCAGGGCCTTTTCAGTACTGGCCCCGACTTGGTGGAACACTCTGTCACAAGAGACTAGGGCTCTGCGGGACTTGACATCTTTCCTCAGGGCCTACAAGACAGAGCTGTTCCGCCTGGCCTTTGGTTTGGACTCAGTCTGACCCTTATGTTTCCCTCCCCTTATGGTTTTGATCTATGGGCTACTTTTAAAATGAGGCTGCATTTTAAATTGCATTTTAACCTGTATTTTAAATGGGTCCCCCCCCCATTATGCTTTTACTGTAATTTTACTGGTGTTGGCCACCCTGAGCCCAGCTCTGGCCAGGGAGGGTGGGGTATAAATAAAATATTATTATTATTATTATTATTATTATTATTATTATTATTAAACCCCTGGGAAAGAGTGTGGTGAAAAGAAAAGCTTTAAATAAACAATAAAATGGTAATTAATGATTTACTCACACATGAATTATGCATTGAGGCCTACCTATATGTCAGGGAACTGCCATCGGACGGAAGGGAGGTGAAAGGGCTCACACAGGTTGGGAGAGACGCAGCAGCTGAAGAGGGAACCAACAGGGAGGTGAAAGGGCTCACACAGGTTGGGAGAGACGCAGCAGCTGAAGAAGGAACCAGCAGGGGGAGAGGAGCTGAGCTGGAGGGATGGCTCAGAGACACTTCCAGCGAAAACAGTGGGGAGGTTTCAGAACCTCCTGTAAGAACACCCACTCCTCGCCGGAAACTGTCACGCAGAGATTCCAGAAGACGTGTTTCCGTTAAGGAGCTTTTATGTTGGAAGCGATTACGAAAGCAACCACTGTCGGAATCTGCTAGTGACTAGAGCAGCCATGTCTGAGGGGCTCCGTCACAGACAGAGGTTTGTGGACTTGAACAAACTCTGAGGGGATACGATTTTACGCACAAGCAGCTCATCATCCCATCACAGCATTCCGACAGTCTTTGAAAGCAGCTTGTGCAGGAGAAGGCATCATGAGCAACCCAGCCGGAACCGGAGAAGCAGGAGCTGGAGCGGGTCCAAGCCTGGAAGAAAGGTACCAGATGTTGGAGGTCCAGCTAGCGATGCAGACGGCGAGGCTTGAGGAGAGGAGGGCTCAGGATGCAGACAAAGGGGGAAAGCCACCCAGTTCGCCAGAAAGGTACCAGGAATGGTGAACAAGGTTGGGGGCGCCCCAAAAATCTATCCTGGTGTTAGGACAGAAATGCAATGTGACCTCAATCTGCGGTTTGATGAATTCCTGACGAGGAATCACGAGTGGCTTTCGTGATTGAGCATCTTGAAAAGGGGGCGAGAGACTGGGTTAGACCCCTGATGGCAGCGAATAGTGACGTCTTAAAGGACACGATGAAGTTCTTTCGCGCCATGGATCTGATGTTTTCCAGCGATATTGAAAAGGGAGTGGTGCGCAGACAGTTAATGGGTTGCAAACAGGGGAGCCGATCTGTCCGTGAGTACTGGACTGAGTTCACCATGCTTGTTCACAGATTGGGGTGGGACTTATCGGCGGAACCCATTCAAATGCTCTTTGAAGAAGGGCTTTCTTCGGCTGTGAAAGACGAACTTTCCCGGGCGCCCAGGGCGGAGTCTATGGACCAGCTGACCAAATCAGCGCTGGCCATAGGAGCGCGCCAGGAGGCGAGAGCATTGGAGAGGCGGGAAGGGAAAGGGGAACGTTGGAAGGAGTTCCGCATTCCAGACATTCCAGAGCCAACTTTCCCACCGGCAGAGCCGATGGAAATCGGAACAGCGCGCGCGCGCAGTTTCAAAGCCCAGTGAGGGGGCAAAGAAGGAGGGAAAAGGCGCCCGGAAATGCTATCTCTGCCAACAGCCAGGTCACTTTGCCAGAGTCTGCCCCCAGAGGAAAGAATGGCAAGGGATGGTAGGAGCTGTGGATGGAAGAGAGGCCAAAATACCGGAGCAAGTAAAAGCCAACGCCTGGCTGCCACTGTCAGGGCACAGCAGCCAGGCCAAAGAGCAGTGAGAGTGCCCACGCCAGAACCTCCTAAACCCGCCCTAGTGATAGAAGTGACGCTAGAGCTGCCAAACGGACACCCTCTAAAGATAAAGGCGCTGTTGGACTCAGGCAGCTCCTGCAATTTCATGAGCAAAGAGTTTGCAGCTGAACACCAGATACAGACAATCCCTTTAAGCAGCCCCTGCAGGTAACCACGATCGATGGCAGGGAGCTGTTGGGTGGCGAAGTCAGCTTGCAGACCGTCCCAATGATAATGAAGGTAGCAAGGCACACCGAACTGATAGCTTTTAATGTGGCCACCTTGGGAGGAGCTCCCATTATATTGGGGATGAGCTGGCTAGCGTTACATGATCCGCTGGTGGGCTGGCATCAGAGAGTGGTTTCTTTTGGTTCAGCACATTGCTTAGAACACTGCAAAGAGGGAAAAGGTTTGGCAGGGGTCCAAGCCACCCTAGCAGGGACTGAAGTAACAGAGAACGTGAAGGTACCACGACAATATGCAGATCTCCGTGACGTCTTCAGCGAAAGGGAAGCTGACCAACTACCCCCGCATAGACCCTTTGACTGTCAAATCAACTTACTCCCTGGAGCACAGCTCCCTGTAGGCAAGCTGTACGCCATGTCAGACAGAGAGATGCAGGAGTTAAGAGAGTTCATTGACAAGAACCTGAAGAGAGGGTTCATCAGAGAGTCCAGGGCGGTGGGGGCAGCCCAGTGTTTTTGTGGATAAGAAAACACGAACAAGCCGAGGCTGGTGTGTGACTTCAGGGCCTTAAATGCAGTGTCAGAACCAGTAGCCTTCCCTATGCCCAGGATTGACGACATTTTGACAAGGGTGCGGAAGGGAAAGATTTTTACAAAGCTGGACCTAAGGGGGGCGTACAACCTGGTACGAATAAGGAAGGGGGATGAATGGAAAACCACTATGTTCACCCCTTTAGGGGCATTTGAATATTTGGTTATGCCCTTCGGCCTACAAGCAGGCTCCGCAACATTTCAATCGTTTATGAACCACGTCCTGGGGCCTTTGCTTTACAAGAATTGTGTGGCCTTTTTAGACGACGTGTTGGTGTATTCTGAGAATGAGGAGCAGCATGTGAGAGACGTCAGAGAAGTGTTGAGCAGGCTGCAAGCCAACCAGCTGTGGGTGAAACTGGAGAAGTGTCAGTTTCATACCAAGGAGGTGGAATTCCTGGGGTATCGCCTGTCAGACAAGGGATTGGCCATGGATCCCGGCAAGGTCCAGGCAGTACTGGAATGGAAAACACCCAAAACAAAGAAGGATGTGCAGAGGTTCCTAGGATTTGGGAACTTCTATCGTAAGTTCATCCGAAACTTTGCCCACCTGACGGCGCCCATTACGGACTGTCTCAGCAGTAAGAAGAAGTTCGTGTGGACTGAGGAGGCGGAGCGAGCATTTGAGGAACTAAAAAGGGCCTTCGCCTCGGAACAACAACTCCTGCATGTGGATTTACAAAAACCGATGAGAGTGGAAACTGACGCATCAGACAGAGCGATTGGGGCGGTGCTTCTGCAGCCAGGCAAGAAGGGGTCAGAGTGGAGACCGTGTGCCTTTTTTCGCGAAAGCTGAACAAATCCGAGAGGAACTACACGGTGTATGACCGAGAACTACTAGCCATTCATGAGGCGTTCCGGAGATGGAGGCACCTGCTAATTGGCGCACAACATAAGGTGCAAGTGTGCACTGACCACAAGAACCTAGAGTATTGGAGGACGGCACGAGTGCTCAACCAACGGCAAGTGAGATGGGCCCAGGAGTTCTCCAAATTTAACTTTGAGATTAGTTACGTGCCAGGCCCAGAGAACATTAGGGCGGACGCTCTCTCACGCAAACCTGAATATTTGGAGGGGAGGGGGCACCCGAAGAGAGACATGTCATTCCAGAAGACCGCTGGGTGTGTGGGGCGGCATTGGTGGGACAAAGAGAACTGGTAGAGGAAACAGAGAATGATGAATACGCCCAGAATAAGCTCAGAGGTCTTAGGGGTGATGGAGAGGAACCAGGGGGTTTCGAGGAAAGAAATGGAGCTTTGTATTACAAAGGGGCACTGTATATCCCTGAAGGAGAGTTAAGGGGAGGGTACTCAAGCAGTTGCACGACAGCCCTACGGCGGGGCATTTTGGACAACACAAAACCATGTGGTTGGTCACCAGGGAATTTTGGTGGCCTAAGGTGAGGGAAGATGTACGTGAGTATGTAAGAGGGTGCGAGCAATGCCAGCGAGCCAAAGGGGAAAGGCGGGCGCCGGCGGGGCTATTAGAACCCTTACCAACCCCAGAACGACCTTGGGAGGCAGTGTCGATAGATTTTATGACTGATCTGCCGAAGTCCAAAGGGAAAACAGCCATCATGGTGGTGGTAGACCTACTAACAAAGATGTGCCACTTTGTAGCTTGCTCGCATGCAGTCACGGCGGAAGAGACAGCGAAGTTATTTGTAGAAAACATTTTTAGGTTGCACGGGGTGCCATTGAGGGTGGTCTCAGACCGAGGAAAACAATTTACTTCCAGGTTCTGGAGGAAGCTCATGAGCTTACTGCAGGTGGAGGTCAATTTTTCGACTGCCCGGCACCCTGAAACCAACGGGCAGGCGGAAAGAGCAAACGGTGTCCTCCAGCAATACCTGAGGTGTTATGTCAATGACAGAGAGAATGACTGGGTAGAAAAGTTGGCGCTGGCGGAATTTGCCTACAACAATGCCGAGAATGTGTCCACAGGGATGAGCCCCTTCTTGGCTAATTATGGGTGTCATCCCAGGGCTTTCCCAGGGGAGAGGGGAGAGATGGAGCGTCCCGGCAGCCGAACATTTTGTGGAAGAAATGGAAGCAATCCATCGTCAGCTCCAACTCAACTTAGAAAGGGCGAAGGAAGAATACAAGAGGCAGGCAGACAAGAACCGAAGGGAAGGTGAAACCATAAGGGTGGGAGATAGGGTGTGGCTGTCAACCCAAGGGTTGCCGTTCAAAGGAGGTTGTAAGAAATTAAGACCCAGGAGGTTGGGTCCCTTTGAGGTCATTCAACAGGTCAACCCAGTGGCTTTCAGGCTCCGGTTACCCAACCACATGAAACTGCACCCAGTATTTCACAGGTCGTTACTGTCACCGTACGAAGGGGGACGAGAAGGGCTGGCCACTCGGTGACCGGTCGTAGAAGAAAGAGAATGCAGCAGCCATGTGGCTGAAATCCTCGACGCCAGGTGGAAGGGGGATCAGGTGGAGTATTTGGTAGCGTGGGAAGGAGAACCGGAGTCAGAAAACACTTGGGTAATGGCTGAAGATATCAATGACGAGGTATTGATAGAAACGTTCCATCAAAGGTTCCCAAGGAAACCTCAGCCTGTGGAGAGGTTCCGGAGGGAATACTTTGGGACCACTGATGAAGGGGAGGAGTTGGAAGGATTCCCGGACTCGGAAGGGGAAGGGGAGATGGACTCTGAGGAGGAGGTGTACTTCGAGACCAGGAACCGCAACAGGTTGAGAGAAGTGTTCGAGACATCGGAAGATGAAGGAAGTTCATTCAGGGTTTTGCCTCCTCACCGCCCGTAGAGGAGGGGGCGAGAGGGGGTGAAGGGGGCCCTGGAGGGGAGGTGGATGTCAGGGAACTGCCATCGGACGGAAGGGAGGTGAAAGGGCTCACACAGGTTGGGAGAGACGCAGCAGCTGAAGAGGGAACCAACAGGGAGGTGAAAGGGCTCACACAGGTTGGGAGAGACGCAGCAGCTGAAGAAGGAACCAGCAGGGGGAGAGGAGCTGAGCTGGAGGGATGGCTCAGAGACACTTCCAGCGAAAACAGTGGGGAGGTTTCAGAACCTCCTGTAAGAACACCCACTCCTCGCCGGAAACTGTCACGCAGAGATTCCAGAAGACGTGTTTCCGTTAAGGAGCTTTTATGTTGGAAGCGATTACGAAAGCAACCACTGTCGGAATCTGCTAGTGACTAGAGCAGCCATGTCTGAGGGGCTCCGTCACAGACAGAGGTTTGTGGACTTGAACAAACTCTGAGGGGATACGATTTTACGCACAAGCAGCTCATCATCCCATCACACTATAGAATACCTAAGGAAAGAGCGTGAGCTTGGGGAACACATAGATGCAACGATGCCTTGCAGTGCCTTCAGACTGACATTGGGCTCAGCAATCTCCAGAGCAATACATCCTTTGATCTTGTTGGCTTCCTTGGGCACAGGCAGTTCACTCAGAGTCACGTGGAATTTGCTCCAGGCACTACTAGTGACTTGGGATTCTCTTTTCACGCCTGCTGTGGTTTCGTAGCCTCCGTCCCCCCACCTTTCTGAAACGATCAGCTGAAAGGCATGTTGGTGTTCCTGATGGAAAGAGGCAGCTTAGAGAATAGCCAAGTGAGAAAGCTAGGGTTTTTTAACTTTCATGTTGAATTTTCATGTTAAATTTTCATGGTGAAGCTCTATAGCTCCCCCCCCCATGCAAATGCTCTTATGTATTTTTATTTATTTATTAAATCCGTACACTGCCCTGTCAGCATCGCCCTTGAGCCAGTGCCACCAACTGGACTCATCCACTTCAGCCCCGACTGGGCTAGGTGAGCTGGGTAGCACTTCCAGAGACCACCTTCTGCACAGGAACAGGTCAAAGTGCTGTGGACTCACAGCTTAGAGTTGTGAGCACCGGATTCACTCCAACAAGAAGACAGTTGTCGCACAGCAGAGTATAGCAGAGTCTAGCAGAGTATATAAACAACTCGGAGAGCAGCTCTGTAGAATATCTTCTTTATTCTATAACTACAACTATTATACAACGATATACAGAGCTAAATAGGTCTAAGCATAAATAAATGCTGCACTGCACTGAGTGTCTGCAGCTGCTCTTAGCAGCAACCTTATCTCTACACACGATCTCTAACACTCAGTCTCTCTCTCTCTCTCCGACACTGACTGACTGACTGACTGACTGACTCGGTGCTGGAGCAGAATAAGTAGAGAGCAGAACACGCCTCCTCCTCTCTGGAGAATCAGCAGACTCCTCAGGAGATTCTTGGATATGGGAGGAGTGAAATCTCCTCGTGCCCCTCGTCCGTAGAACTCAGAAACAGCAAGATAAAAACCACAAAGTACAGACTACACACGTGAAACAGATTTTACATTTACGGAAAAAAACAGAGGTGAGCTGTGAGAATGGACTAACATCAAGAGAAGAATTAAAGGTAAAGGTAAAGGGACCCCTGACCATTAGGTCCAGTCACGGATGACTCTGGGGCTGCGGTGCTCATCTCGCTTTATTGGCCGAGGGAGCCGGCATACAGCTTCCGGGTCATGAGGCCAGCATGACTAAGCCGCTTCTGGCGAACCAGAGCAGCGCACGGAAACGCCGTCTACCTTCCTGTTGGATCGGTGCCTATTTATCTACTTGCTCTGGTGTGCTTTAGAACTGCTTGGTTGGCCGGAGCAGGGACCGAGCAACGGGAGCTCACCCCGTTGCGGGGATTCGAACTGCTGACCTTCTGATCGGCAAGTCCTAGGCTCTGTGGTTTAACCCACAGCGCCACCCGTGTCCCTAGAGAAGAATTAAGAGGAGATTAAAGAAGAATGAAGTGGCTACTGGAGGAAGTAATCTTTGTAACAGGAGCGGGAAACCTGATTTTTTTTTTTTTTTAAAGTATTAAATTAATAATAAAAGTAATAAAAGTAATTTAGTGATTTGGACTGATTTGTAATAATTTGAAAAACCAATAAAAAAACACACCACAAAATACATAGCACAAATTAAGCAAAACAACAACAAACCAATAACGCCCCCTTCTACAACACATTTAAAAGGGCATCAGAGGTCAATCATTGTGTGTGTGTATGTAAGCTAGTAGGAGAATTTATTATCCCTTTTTCATAACACTAAAACTCTTGGACACTGGAAGAAGAAGTTCCTACCAAAGAAGAATGGATAAGCAAGGTGATGGACTGTGTGGAAAGGGCAAATAAAATAAGAGAACCTAACAATGATTGCTTTATGGAGGAATGGAAGCCTTTTTTGGACTCCTTAAAGAAATGCTACAGTATGATGAACTCATGAGCAGGATTTGAGCTATGAACAATGGGAGAAATGAGAGATTATAGTATTGTTCTGGTATAAGGTATAGAAAATCAGATGCAGCGATAGGAGGGAAATGAAAGCATCATGGAAAACGGAGTGGGAATTTGACAAAATCAAAAGAAGAAATTAGAATGCATTGAAGTATATATGTTAAACTTTTGCAGTTTAATAAAACATATTTTTTTAAAAAGAGGAAAGTGTCTCAAGGTGTGGCTACCACAAGGCACTTTCACAGCTGTGCAGTCATACCTCATGTTACGTCCGCTTCATGTTACATTCTTTCAGGTTACGTCCCGCGGTGACCCGGAAGTACCGGAAAGGGTTACTACCGGGTTTCACCTCTCGCGCATGTGCAGAAGCGCAAAATGACGTCACGCGCATGCACAGAAGCAGTGAATCACAACCCGTGCGTGCACAGACGCACCACTGCAGGTTGCGTTCTTCTCATGTTGTGAATGGGCCTCTGGAACGGATCCTGTTTACAACCAGAGGTACCACTGTAATCCTGACATTGGTTTGCGAGCAGTGGCAAAAAGGCAGAGCTGTGGACCAGGAAGCCTCTCAGTCAAAAACTTAACCAAGCAACACTGCTGTCTTTTTGCACCAGCTGGCAATCTGCAAGAGGAAGAGAATGATTTATATGTGGAGGGCTTTGCTTTCAATGTGCGCACCCTATCCCCCCAACGCCCTTCCAGCGTGCTGCAGGAGGTCTTTCAGCTTGCCAAACTCCTTTGACTGATCTCCGGTTTCGCTCATTCCTGCCTACTTATTCTTCCCGGTGGGAGCTGAGGGCCTCTTTACCCCCCGTGACTTCGCCCTGCTCTCTGACAAAGGGAGCGTCATCAGAGATGCCGTGGGGGGGCTCAGTTGGGAAGTTAAATAATGGAAGGCAGGAAGAATTGGGCTGTTTGGTGGCTTTGCCGGGAACAAAAGTGTGTACGTGCGTGTACCAGCAAAAATATTCTACATGCACTCAGACCCACTAATATGTTTCAGATTTCCAAGCTGTTAAATAAAATCCTCTTTATAGTCAGCTTCACCTCTCCTCACAAAGGAAGCTGCCTTGAACTGAGGTCAGATCCTCCAAGTGTCCCTATTTTCCAGGGACAGTCCAAGATTTACAGAAGCCGTCCCAGTTTCTGATTTAATCCTGCAATGTTCCGCTTTTCCTTAGGACGTCCCTATTTTCATCAGAGAAATGTTGGAGGGTATGGAGTTATGCAACACCCCTAGCCAAGGAAATAAATAACTATACAACCTTTAGGAGACATCTGAAGGCAGCCCTGTATCGGGAAGTTTTTTTTTTTATGTTCGATGTTTTATTCTGTTTTTATACATGTTGGAAGCTGCCCAGAATGTCTGGGGAAACCAAGTCAGATAGGCAGGGTATAAATATTATTGTTATGGAATAGGATGTTCCTATTTCCATCAGAGAAAAGTTGGAGGGTATGTGAGGTAGATCATTGCTCTCTCAAATCGAGTGTTGTCTACACCAGGAGCAGGACGATGTTTCAGGCCTGGAGGTTGCAAGTCCACAGGACTCTTTCCAGGCCATTCCCTTTCCCTCAAGTTGTGGCTACACAACCAAGGTGCAGTGCAGATGGGCCCTAAGAATATGAACTGCGCTCTGGGGTGTCCCCTGCTTCCAATCTCACCTCAGCCACAAACCCATTAGGTAGTGGTAGGAAAGCCTCTCTTTGCCTCTGTTTCACCGTCTGTGCAATGGGAATAATAATACTGAACAGCCTTGTGGCGTTGCTATAGTAGGGCCTTCTGTTGGTGAAGCTGTTTCAACATTCAAAAGGGATATGCAAATAGTTGTTGCTTCTGTTGTTGATTTCCTCAGTGCACTTCCTTCTCCATTCGAATGGCTATAATGACATTCAGCTCTCCCCTATTAGAGGTTTATTTCCTTTCATTTCCTCTGCCTTTTGTAAGGTTTTGATATTTAAAATGACCATCTGGTTCAACAGAGCATCGATTGAATAATAGATCAAACACCTCTTTGGTGTATTTAATAAATGATGTACCTTTTTGCTTGCCTGGTTCAGAAGAGTGTTACGTTTAGAGATTACACTTCGTGGACTCTTATGCAGTATGTCATAGCCAGTGATTAGGTTCCCCCTCATTCATTCATTCATTCATTGAATCATTTATTATTTTTTGGTCTAAGGACAGCATTTCTTGGCAGCCAAAGGTATCAAAGGACCCAATTTAAGACAAGTTGAGACTCTCAAATCTTTTGAAAGACAAGCCAGGCGACTTGCTGTTGACATTATTCCATTGCTCTCTGATGCCTGCTTCTCTGTCGGTACAAATGTAATCCAGCAAGCAACGTCCTCAAGATTGGCAGTGCAAGGTTTTACGGAATTTAATAGCAATACAGTGGACGCTCGGGTTGTGAACATGATCCGTGCGGGATGCATGTTTGCAACCCGCAATGTTTGCAACCCGCAGTGGTGTGTCTGTGCACGTGCGGGTTGCAATTCGGCGCTTCTGCACATGCGCAAAGCATGATTTAGCGCTTCTGTGCATGTGCGGCTGCTGAAACCCGGAAGTACAGTGGTGCCCCGCAAGACGAATGCCTCGCAAGACGGAAAACCCGCTAGACGAAAGGGTTTTCCGTTTTGGAGGTGCTTCGCAAAACGAATTTCCTATGTGCTTGCTTCGCAAGACGAAAATATCTTGCGAGTTCCTGCGGGTTTTTTTTCCTTCCCCCCCCCTTTTTCCCAAGCCGCTAAACCGCTTATCAGCTGATCTTTAAGCCGCTTAACAGCTGATGCT